GTCGACCAAATAAATTCATTCAAATCCAAAGTTTTCAATGAATGCCACAATTGGTTGAGTATTTCAAACCGGGTTTATCTTCGAGTTTGTCGTTGATTTCGACGATACGTCCGGACACGGGTGTGAAAATCTCTGAGGCGGCCTTCACGCTCTCCACGGCCCCGACTTCATCTGTTTTGGTGATCACAACCACACAAATCGTTTCTTACTATAAGAACCGATAATTGTATTCAAATTGAATACCATTTTGTGCGAACTGTTGGTCCACATCCGGCAGCTGTACGTACACCACATCTCCCAGCGCTTCCTCCGCGTACTTCGAGATGCCAACGGTTCCGATCTTTTGGGTCGAGTCTAATGCAAGCCATTCGTGTTTATCACTATAACGACGGTCTAAATGAATGACACAATTGGGAGATGAGATCAAAATGACAAACCATATGATACTGTAGTGTCAGTACAGCATAAGTACAGCAATAGGTCTATACCTGAAGCATGTCTTATCTGTTTAGTAATAAATGCCTGATTCTGGACCTCATATCTATTGGACATCACTTTAAACAGTTTATTAACATTTAGTTTCCAGACTTTGCTTCTGGAGAAAGTGATGGCAAAAGACATCTTTTCGGTGGATATAAATTTAGTGATCACTTTGTGTGCACTTAATATGAAAGGAAATGTGGTTTTCAGTTGAAAGAGATAACACACTTCAAGGACCTAATACTCGACATGTAAGACAAACACCGAGATTAAGCATATGATTACAAATGAATGCTTTAATATTGAGTTGAGTTGAGGTCTGGCTTGTGATGAGTGCCTCAAAGTCTCAAACTTTACTTAAAATTGTTTGTAAAGTGTGTTGTAAAATGTGATATTATAGGGAAGGGATGCGCAGTCACACCATCAGTCAGTCTCCAAGAGTATGCGTTTAATGTAAACATAGAGTCCTTTAAAAAACATTCAATGATAAGTGAATGCAACCAATGATCAGCTGATCCATGAATAGGTGATGAAATGAGCGATTGTG